GAAAGTCAACATGTACTGAATGAGCTAAAACAACTGTGTTTCTTGGTAAGTAGCTAGGTGTGCATGTCTATCAATCTGACTCTAAAACTCGAGCACCCTCTCCTTATCCACATCTGATGTGATGAGGTCACATGGTTCGTGTTGATGCAGGAAACACTTCAGTTTCACAGAAAAGGCCTGAACCACTGGCCACCCCAGTTCCCTCGGTTTCTGTGCCTGAGGACAACCTGCTATTAGGACGTCTACTTCCATCTCCTTATGCCAGCAGCTCCCTTCGCAAACACCGTATGTCACATACCATTCTTAAGGCAGGCTGCCAAGCTCCGTTGTCCTAAAAAGTTTACCAAGGACAGAAGAAACTGGGTCCCCACCCTCTCTGTAAAAATGGACCTTGATGGCATGGGAGCAAGCCTGCGGTGTCCCAGCTTCTGGAGGGGCAGGGATGCCTGGCCCGCGAGGACCCTGGTCAGGGCCCTGAGGCATGGGGGTGCGGGGGGCGCAGTGGGGAAAGCAGCTGAAGGCGCGCAGGTTGTCATTCACCTGGCAGATGCATAACTCACAGGGATCACCAGGAGACCAGATCTGTCCAATTGGAAACTCAACCCCGTTGTCATCGAGAGAGCAGCCTGGCCAGAGGACAGCGAGGAAGAAGGGGCGAGTGGGCAGAAGTGCCGTGGAGGGCCCTAAATGCCCACCAGACCTACAGCAGCACCCACCAGGGACAGACGCTCCTGCTCACTCACGCGGTGTAGACCGTTCCCGGGGTGTATACTCAACCCAGGGGCTGCCCACAGCTGCCCGCCCAACTCCTCGTTAAGGTTTCCCTCCAAACATGCACCTGGTATACACAGGCACACTGACACAAACCTATGCTTCCATACGCACCCACAAACACAGAGTCACACTCACACAGACACACGCACAGACTTACACACTCAGACTCACTCTACAGTCTCAGCGGGTACAGCTCAGCCTCCCACCTGGAGGGCATCGTGGCCTGTGCTGGGCGCAGCCCTGGGACACAGGGCCGGGACCCTTACCTGTCATGGGCGTGGGCTCCCGGCAGGTGAAGCAGCACTGTCCAGGGCCCAGCCACCACTCCTCACGGGGGCAGTCCAGTTCTGGACATGGCGTGAAGGAACATTCCACGTCCCCATTCTGGAAGACAGCCAAGGGTCACAGGCCAGTGAGGGCAGCTCCCCAACCCTGGGCCATCTGAGGGCTCAAGAGGGAGCTGGCGGGCTGCCATCACCCCCCTTAAAGTGACAAAGAAATCTCCAGGGAGCAGGAGGGGGAGGAAGGGAGAGTCCTTCACTGGGGACTGGGGTGAGGCTGGGGGTCCTGGGAGCGTGCCAGCTGTTTGTCTGGAGGGCCCCCCGCCTGCCCTAGCTACAGTGCCAGCATCTCTTTCCCTCACTTCTGCAAAACAGCCCCTGTGCAGGCTCCCTGCTTCCTGTTTTTACTACAATCTACTGTCAATCTGCAACCAGAGAACTTTCTCATGCACCAATCGGATCACATCACTCCGCCACTTAAAGCCCTTCAGCAGCTCTGCCAAGTGCAAAGCCCTCAGCCTGGCTGGCAAAGCCTTCCACGACTGAGTCTGAGGCAGAGGGGGTCACCAAACTCCCCAGGCTCCTACCCCTGAAGTACCACCTTTGGCCAGTGGGGGCCATGTCTTCCAGGTGCCTAGATGGTTCCCTCACCCCTGACTCCCTAGGGAGTAAGGGAGTGTGCACAGCTGACTGCCGCTGGGGACATCAGAGCCCAGCTACTTGGCCTCTGGACACGCCCATCTCAGCAGTGCAATTCACACTCCAGAGCTCCTCGGGGTATCAGCCTGAGCCCCTTCCTCACGTGGAGCCTTCCCCAGCCCCTCCTGTTTGTCTCACCCAGTTTCTCCTGAGAGCACGCCCTTGGAAAATCACTTATACTAGGCTCTGCTTCTCGGAATCCAACCCAAGACGATCCCGCCTGCAGCCGCCTCTCTTGCCTGACTCCAGTCTGCCGTGTGCTCTGCGCTCCAGCCAGGATGGAGGTACGTCATGCTCTCTTGACTCCTGCCGTCTGCTCATGCAGTGCCCGCTGCCAGGCACACTGGCCTCAGCTTCTCACCTGAGGAGTGCTAGTCATCCTTCAGGTCTCGCCTTAGCATCCCTCCCGCCAAGAAGGCTTCCTTGAAGTCTGCAGTCTGGCTAGGAGCCCTGGCCACCTACCCATCGCCCACCTAGGCTGTGGGGCCCCTGACCGAGAGGACTGGGGCTGTCTTGTGCTTCGCTGTGTCCCCAGCACTCAGCATTGCTCCAGGCACATAGTAGGTGCTCTATAAGTAGCACTGCTGAAAAAGGAGCTTCAAGGAGCCTGCGGGGAGGCCTTGGTGAGTGTAGGTCACTTTAGTCCCTTTGCTGCCTCAGTCTCCCTTTTGCTGTGTGGCAGGCCCTCTTCTCCTGGCCAATGCATCCTGGGAACACCCTGTGCTCTGCCCTCTCCCCATCACCCACCAATTCAGTCCCCTACCTGGCAGACACAGGTGGTACACTCGTCACCACCCCCACTGAACACAGCCCCGTCCGCATACCACCGGCCATGGAAAAAGCATCTCACTGCAGAGAGGAAAGGGAGAGGCAGCTCAAGGTCTTTGGGCAGCTGAAGAAAAAGGGGAAGAAATGGGTAGGGGGGCCCTGGGGAAGCTCACACACCCCCACGATACTCCACAGCACAACCCGCGCCCAAGAACCCACACATTCCTCCCTTCTGAACTCCCATCAAGAAAATATGCTGTTACTGAAAAGCTGACAGAAAACGAATCGTGTGTAACATAAGATCCTTAACCAAAAAGGCAGGGGAAGCCCAGAATAACCAAAGACGAAGAGCAAGGAAGAGATGGAAAAAGACTGCCCCAGACACCTCAGGCAGCTCTGGGAACCGTGCCACCCAGAGGGGGCTGGGAGGACTCAGCAAGAGCCTCTCATCTGAAGATGCCCCACAGGTAAAAACAGCCTAAAAACCTGTGCAGGCTCACCTGGCGTCAGTCAGGCTGCCCTGCGTTCATCCCCACCTACGCAACTCTAGGGAGTGACTTTGGGAACCATACTTAAGCTTGTTAAGCCTTGGTTTTCTCATCTCTACNATAACAAAAGATGAATACAAGTCACGTTTGACTTCTGCAATTACAAGAGGTGCTCAAAGTGGTGACCATCAGCGTCCAGACACTTCTGATTATGGTGGACTGCCGCTTGAGCAACGCTGACCAAACCATCCACTAGTACATTTTTTTGGCACCCCCGGTATATGGGTACAGATGTTACTCATGAAAAGAGACTAGAAAGACAAAACCATGAGGTTAAACATGGTAATGGGCTCTTTTTCATTTTTTTTCTTAATTTTTGCTTCCTGTATGTTCTAAATGTTCTACAATAAAATGTTACTTTTGAAACAATGGAAAAGGCAAGAATTACTATAAGAAAAATAAAGTACAGTAATACCTTGGTTTGCGAGCATAATTCATTCCAGAAACAAACTACTTATATTGCAAGACACTGCTCGTTTACCACGTTAAAATGTATTACAGGGGCCGGCCGAGTGGCTCAGCTGGGTAAGAGCACAAGCTCTGAGCAACAGGGTCGCCAGTTCGATTCCCACATAGGCCAGTGAGCTGCGCCCGAGCTGAGCTGCTGCTGAGCTGCCAATAGGTGGCAGGATGGCTCAGCTGGTGAGAGCGTGCACTCTTAGCAACAAGGTTTCTGGTTTGACTCCTGCATGCCCACCCACAACTAAGATTGAACACGGCACCTTGAGCTGAGTGGCCGCGAGCTGCTGACGGGTGGCCAGATGGTGACTGGACTTGGAGCTGAGCTAGCTGCGTCCTCCACAACTAAGACTGAAGGATAACAACTTGGCTGTTCCCCTTCCCCACTTCCCCAACACTGTTCCCCTTCCCCAATTCCCCAATAAAATCTTTAAAATCTTTAAAAAAAATGTATTAGAAATGTTTGCCCGTCTTGCAGAACACTCGCAAACCACGTTACTTGCAATCTAAGGTTTTGCTGTATCGCTTTTATTTTCTCTCACTGTTCTCTAATTGTTTCACAGGTCTGGTTCCTTGGTCACCCCACCTAGGCTGTACCGTACCCTCTACACACCTTTCCGCTTCCAGCACCCAGACAGGGCTGGCCATGGGCAAACCGCTTTATGGCTCAGACCCTCAGTTTCCACTTCTGTAAAATGGGGTTGCCCCATGGGGTGGTTGTGAGGATGACCCCACGTGAAGCCTGTGTGGTGCTTCACATGGAGGAGCCTACCGCAGCGTGAGCCTGGACGTGATGGGGGCCAGGAGGGTGCTATGCAGCCCCCCCCCCCACCACCACCACCACAGGCAGGGAGTTACCTGCTGAGCAGTCCGGGCAGCACTGTCCAGGGATCCGAATCGGGTGCGGGCAGGAGTCCACACAGTCTGTCCTCTTGCAGCTCACTGAGCCGTCTGCCTGAAGGGACAAGGAACTTCACCAGGACCCCATCTGTGACACCAGTCCCTGCCTCCACACCCTACTCCACCCTCCCAGTCCCCCCTGAAAAAGGGCAATGCTGCAAACTGGCCAAGTCTTGCCATAAAAGGTGCCACGATGCAGTGA